TTTGCTATGCAAAGTTATGCTCACTCGGACAAATATTGGCAGTTTGGTGTACCATTCACAAAAAATCGGACGAAACTATACATGGGAGCTATATCTAAATCTGAATCAATTTTAACAAAACTTGGCAGAGGTCAGTCTGGACCTAATTCAGAACTCTGTGCAGAACTAAGAACTCTGTCCCAATCGGACAAGTATTGGGAGTTTGGTGCATCATTCACATGAAATCGGAAAACTATATATATGGGAGCTATATATAAATCTGAACCGATTCCAACATAACTCCTCACATGTAAGCATGGATGTTATTCAGTGCTCTGTGCAAAATTTTGTACCAATCGGACACATATTGGGAGTTTGTTCACAAAAATACATGGACGGACAGACGGACATGTGTAAATCGAATCTGAAAGTGATTCTATGCATATTCTCAAAAGGAGCCATGGGTCTATATCGATTCCTTTTGCCTGTTACTAACATATGCACAAATACATAATACCCTGTACCACAGTGTGGTGAAGGGTATAAAAATACAAAATAGACACTGAGGTTGAGAAATTCGGCTAAAATCTTTAGTATTCAGAAAATGTAGCGGGACATCCTGGATGGTGGATCCCAAGATTAAGAATTACAGCTTCGAAGTTTTGCACACGAAATGCACAATTGATATAAACTCCATCATGAAGCAATTGTGTACTCCAGGACAAAAAAGTTCGGAGATGTTACCAGTTTATGCCAAAATTAAAAATTACAGCTTCGAAGTTTTGCACACGAAATACACATTTGATATAAACTCCATCATGAAGCAATTGTGTACTCCAGGCCGAAAATTTTCGGAAAAGTTGCTAGTTTATAAAAAAATACTTTGATCTGAGCAGGGGCCTAAATGTTTTAATATTGTACAGTTTTGCATAATTTTCGCTGCTTTCGATTTTGTAATTTGGCCCTGGGTTTCTTTGTCCCCAACCACAAAGTGTATACCAAACAATTTCTCTTCTTAAAATGTTTTCCTTTCTTAAATTAAGGTAATCTTAATTTATTTGATTCTCTTAATGAATGATTTCCATAATAAATTCAAGCAATTAATCAAACTTATTATTATTGTTATTATTGACTACAATATTTACATAATAATCCTGACCACAAAACCCTTAAGTCATCCGAACTACTTTATAAATGAAACCACTTAGCATTCTTTGAATTTTCAAAATTAATCATTGTCAAATGTAAACAATTTACCATTTACTCTCTGTGTCTCTCTCTCTCTCTCTGTCCAGTTAACTTTGTGTTCGTTATCAGTTGTCAATATTTAAATTTTGAATTTAATCCCGAAACTGTTTACACAAAAATTAGTCGCATGACTTAATAGTCGGTGTGTTTGTGTGTGAGTGGGTAAGTACAGTAATAGCATCTGCCACACCACCATAACCAGGGCACACAGCCGCTCACACAAACCTTCGATACACAAAAATAAACCGAACAGTAATTTGTAATGCCCACATTGTAATCACAGGGTCAGCCTATTTAGTTTCATATTTGTTGTCAATCAACGAAACATAAATAAATAATTGAATTTACTGTGACCTCAATACATTTGATAAAAGGACACAGGCACACCACGTGCAAATGATGTATGTCTGTTAAAATGTGGACATTTTCAATGTTGGTATATTTGACATAAAATTGAATAATTTATAAGAGTATATAAAAATAAAAATTAATTAATTTAAATTGAATGGTACAGTTCCAGGTCTAAAATATCTAAAAAGTAGACACGGAAAAAATATTTTCGAAGGATTTTTTAAAGAATAGTTTTTCAAGGACTACCAATGGCGTGGATTTTTTAAATAATAGTTTTCAAGAACTATCAAAGGCGTGGATTTTTAACGAATAGTTTTTCAAGAACTATCAAAGGCGTGGATTTTTTAAATAATAGTTTTCAAGAAATATCAAAGGCGTGGATTTTTAAAGAACAGTTTTTCAAGTTTGCAGGTATTCTTCTCCCTATGGAAGAGCTGCTGATATTACTATCCTATGGAAGAGCTGCTAAAGGCGTGGATTTTTATTTTCTTCCTATGGAAGAGCTGCTGATATTCTTCTTCCTATGGAAGAGCTGCTGATATTATTCTTACTTTAAAGGAGTTGGAGGTATTCTTCTTATTTTAGGAGAGCTGGAGGTATTCTTCTTCCTATAGGAGAGCTGGTGGTATTCTTCTTCCTTTGAAGGAGTTGAAGGTATTCTTCCTATAGGAGAGCTGGAGGTATTTTTTCTCCTATAGCAGAACTGCCGGTACTCTTTTTCCTAACGAAGAGCTCCAGGCTTTCTTCTTCCTATAGGAGAGATGGAGGTCTTCTTCCTCTTGGAGGAGAACTGTAGGTATGTAGAGTTGCAATGGCGTGGATTTTTTAAAAGAATAGTTTTTCAAGGACTATCAAGGGCGTGGATTTTTAAGGAATATTTTTTGAAAGAACTATCAAAGGCGTGGATTTTTTAAATAATAGTTTTTCAAGAACTATCAAAGGCGTGGATTTTTAAATAATAGTTTTTCAAGAACTATCAAAGGCGTGGATTTTTAAATAATAGTTTTTCAAGAACTATCAAAGGCGTGGATTTTTAAATAATAGTTTTTCAAGAACTATCAAAGGCGTGGATTTTTAAATAATAGTTTTTCAAGAACTATCAAAGGCGTGGATTTTTAAATAATAGTTTTTCAAGAACTATCAAAGGCGTGGATTTTTAAATAATAGTTTTTCAAGTTGGCAGGTATTCTTCTGCCTATGGAAGAGCTGCTGATATTCTTCTTCCTATGGAAGAGCTGCTGATATTCTTCTTACTTTGAAGGAGTTGGAGGTATTCTTCTTCTTATAGGAGAGCTGGAGGTATTCTTCTTCCTTTGAAGGAGTTGAAGGTATTCTTCCTATAGGAGAGCTGGAGGTATTCTTTTTCCTATAGCATAACTGCAGGTATTCTTTTTCCTGAGGAAGAGCTGCAGGTATTCTTCTTTCTATGGAAGAACTGCAGGTATTCTTCTTTCTATAGGAGAGGTGGAGGTCTTCTTCTTGGAGGAGAACTGTAGGTCTTTTTCTTCTTAGAGGAGAACTGTAGGTATTCTTCTTCCTGTGAAAGAGCTGCAGGTATTCTTCCTGTTGTAGAGTTGCAGGTATTCCTACTATAGGAGGCCTAGAGGTATCCTTCTTCCTATAGGAGACCTAGAGGTTTCCTTCTTCCTATAGAAGGCCTAGAGGTATCCTTTTTCCTATAGGAGAGCTGTTGAAAAGTTGCAGGTTCTCTTCTTCCTATGGAAGAGCTGCTGGCATTCTTCTTCCTATAGGAGACCTAGAGGTATTCTTCGTCCTGTAATTTTCTTCCTATAGGAAAGTTGGAGGTATTATTCTTACTGTGGAAGAGCTGCAGGTATTCTTCATCCTATGCAAGAGCTGTAGGTATTATTCTTCCTTTGAAAGAGCAGCAGAAATTTCCCTTCCTGTGAAAGAGCTGCAGATATTTTTCTTTCTGTGGAGGAGCTTCAGCTATTCTTCTTCCTATGGAAGACCTGGAGGTATTCTTTGTCCTATAAGAGAGCTGCATGTAATTTTCTTCCTATAGTAAAGCTGGGTATTATTCTTCCAGTCGAAGAGATGCAGGTATTATTATTCCTAGATGAGAACTCTAGGTATTCTTCTTCCTATGGAAGAGCTGCAGGTATTCTTCTTCAGGTCTTCCTCTTCTATGGAAGAGGTGGAGGTCTTCCTCTTCCTATGGAAGAGCTGCTGGAATTCTGCTTCCTATGGAAGACCTGGAGGTATTCTTTTTCCTTTTTTTAAATTATTTCAAAATATACTGGAAGTATTATTGTTTTATGTATGTTTGTATTTTATGTTATTTTATTACATTAAATATTTGAATGCAGTTTAGTTTGAAATTCAAATTTATGAATGAAAACATTCTCCATTGTTCTCTCTCATTCACATTCGCCTATTTCGTTTGTTATGTATTTGTGAAGTGAGTAGGGGAATTTGTAATGTATGGATGATATGTAGGGGTCTTTGCAATGAATGAAATATAAAATTAGAGGGGACTATTTTATTTTGGATGGAATAGCTTAAGCCGGAGACACTAGTTTATTTTCTAAATTTTGTTTACTAAATGGAAAAGAGAAATTATTTTTGGTGGAGTACTTTTTTGGAAAACTTTCGTTTGTAGTTGAAAAAATTAATTTTGATTTACTAGCCCAACCACAACATATACCTGAAGATGATATATATTTTTCTAAAATATTCGTAGGCAAATTTAAACTAGAGATAAACTTTAACATTTTTGAATTGCCTCAATATTCAATTTATAGGAATTTGTGATCAACCTATTTCAACCCAATGTTCTTTACAAAAATATGAACTCTGCTCATTTTCAGTTAAGTGAATAATTTAATGAATGAATGAATGATGCAAACAAATAAGAGAACCAAAAATAGTCAAATCATAAATGTTACAATTGCAATGAAGTTGATTCATAAAAAATATTGCATCAACACTCAAACACACACACACCTATAGCAAATAAAGATGAAAAAAGACCCCTATGTACACAAACATGCAAAAATAACCCCCCTGAAATTGTCTAGCCGGATAGGAAATAAGTGCAAATATTATTTTATCTAAATGTGCTACAGATGAGGTTGAGTGATTTTTATTGGCACGAGGGGAGTACATTTTGTTCGTAACATCGGATGAGCGTGGGTGGCTACGGAAGATTTGTAAAACTTTTTTAAAAACATACGGTGACCAATTTTTTTTTTCTTCGAAAAAAAAAATCAAAAAAGAGAAAACATAGAAGAAAACGACAAAAAATAAACGATAAAATCAAAGAAAACAGATTTAAGTTAATTCACAAACTTCTCTGGGGAAATTCGTTCGAGTTTTGTTGCTAGCTAAGAACGAAAAGGAAAAAGGCAACAAACGAAGTTTCTTTTTGTTTCTCAAAGTAAAAACGGAAAAAGAAAAGAAAAAACGAACAATGGTAATGGGCAGCATGGATGATATTATAACACTCTTCGATGAAGCGGATCCATTTAAAACATGGTGGCCACCAATTGCTGCTGCTGTGGTTGGAATAATAATAACGGTGCGGTAAGTATTTTTTGTGTCGTGATATCCCCATTTACTACGAAGTCGTTTTTAAGGGAAATGGCAAGGAGTCAAAGAAATAAAGTTTTTCGTTTCCATTTCTATTTTAACAAATCGTTAAGTATCGTGAATACAGTTGTTTATTGACAATTATTGATTAAGCAAATTGCTAATAATATCATTAAAAAATATATTGACAAATAATTAAACAAGGCAAATTATAATTCGACATGGTCAACATTATGGAACGTAAGATTTCGGGTTCTTTGTTTATCAGAAAAATATATTATTGTTGTTTTTTTTTACACAAATTTCACTTGATACGATTTCTACTTTTTGGATACCTATAAAAGGAGATTTTTGATATAAAATGGAGATTTTTGCCTTCTCACAAAAATTTACAAATAACAAATATTTTTTGAAAATCGCCGATTTTTTACCAAAAGCCCAGTTAAAAAAAGGAAAATCTTCGCCGATTGGCTTTATCCTAGTTCATACGATAGCTATACACTCACAGAGAAGCGTGTAAAAATTTGCAATGGATTGGGTTATTAGTTTTTGAGTTATCGTGACCGCCATTCACAAAAGAGAAAAACGCGTTTAATGTTTGAGAAGCCCTTTAGCCGTCACTTGATGCTGACACATCTTGAAATTTTGTAGGGAGGGGTCCCCTTAAATAAAAATACTAGTAGAACGTCTTTGAATTCGGTCGGTCCGACATTTTTGCATGTGGTGGTCATCCGAAAATTAATATGGAGACTTAACACAAGTTTTAAAATTGAGCTAGGGATATGTATAAACATGGGCATAAACAGCATGTTCACTAGAAATTTTTACCGTTTGTAACTTATCATTTCCGGCCATACAAAGTATATATATATATATATATTTTTGATCAGCGTAAAATTCAATGACAACCGTTTGTGGTAATAACTCTAGCCTCTAAAGGAATTGAGATAGATCCCCAAAATGTTGCATAGAATCGTCTATTGTCTACAGGTACCCCCCAATATTCAGCATTGTGGGGGTTTTGATCGTATTTATCGTCCCAATTTTCAATTGAATTCGCTGTAATTTGGTATTCTGTAGTCGTTTATGGCAACAAATCTCTCACCCAAAAAAGTATTAGTATTCGCCCTTTTCAAGGGGTAGTAGAATGATTACAACAGATTTATAAATCGGCAAAACTATTATTAACTATTTTAATGTAAAAATGGGGTTATATTTTTATATTAAAATAGCTGATAATAGTTTTTCCGATTTATTGATCTGTTGTAATCATTCTACCTTTAGAGGATATTGAGATTAAAAACTAGAACGTCAGTTTCGAAAATGACCTATATCGGTCAGCATTTAGGCCTAGCCCCCATACAATGATACCTACTGATTTTCGGTATTTTTAATATTTGGCGTAAAGGATGTTATTGTGATGCAAAAATGTTAGATTCGAAATTGAGCTATATCGGTTCTCAATTATCATGTAATGATAACTCCATTTTTTTGCAATGAATGTTTTCATATTGACCCCGACCCTCCGAAATAAAATCTTGTGTACCTTGTAAGCGCGATATGTCCCCTATATTTTTATTTCAAGTACCCATCAGTAAACTATGGTGGAGGTTATCGACCGGGCCTTTTTGACTTGTTTGTTATTATATTTATCACGCAATGAGATCTCAAAATATCAAAACCGCAAATTACTAAATATTTAGGGTTGCGTTCGTTATATGGGGGCTATAATAAAAACTCGGCCGGTGTCGATAATTTTTGATAGCAAATTTTACATTAAATCCGAACCCATAATATTAAATTGGGGTCAATTTCTTAAAAACTTGCCAAAATATCGTAAAATGAGCTACTCCGAAACTTAAGCCATATTGAGACAAATATTTCTAATATTTGCTAGAAAGATTTGCTAACCAATGAGGACCCAAAATACCAAATTACAGCCTATTCGGTCCAAACTCGCAAAATATAGATAATTGGCGTACGTTTATAGGGGAACAACACCGAAATGAAGAATCTGAATAGATTTAAAGCTTTTAGACAGACATCGTTCTAGATTTAATTTGGCAGGATATACAAATTGTCGTAAGTCTTGCAAATTGCCTCCGAAAGTAGCGAATCCCAGACAGAGAAAGGAATTTCTCTATCCCTCTAGAATCAATTCAATTGAAATATTCTTTAAATCTATCCCCATATTTTGTTTATCTCAAAACAATATTCGCTTAATTCAATGATTCGTCAAAAAAACAAAAAAGGTTGTCGAAAATAATTTGTCAATAAAAATAGAAACTAATGTTGTTATGTTTACTTGTACTTTTCATACTCTCCACTATGTGGTGAGCATTCCAAATTCGGTACCGTAAATTATATACTTGTTAGTTATTTATGTTCAGGTTAGAAAACTAAGCTGGAAACTTAAATGTACCGAAAATAAAGCGGCACCTTTTAATACTGTCACCTATGTAAAAACATGGAAATATTTTGCAAATTTTCGAGAAGAAATTTTGTTTCCACCAGGATTCCGGAATGCCAAATTACAGCACTTCGTACGGAAATGCGGCTAAATCTTTAACATACTGAAAACAAGTGAGTGGGCGGCGACGATATTATATACCACACAACTACCACTGAGCTATACGTTTTTGCAGATCAAAACGGCCATTGGAATAAGTCGGTCAAATCGCCTTCCTAATGGAAAATTGGTGATGTTCGGCACATAATTTTCGGTCTATTTCATCCCCGAAATATCATCTGAACATCATCGAAAATTATACGCGTCGTCCTTGGCCATAACCGGAACCTCAATAAAAATTTGGTAATGGTAATACTAAAAAAATCAGAATACGACGACACTTTTAGTATCATAGTTGTTTAAGCGAGAATGCTATTTAAAATGGTTAAATAGTTAGCCTTTAATTTGAAAGGCCGTAGCCGTTGAAATCTGTCTACTCCTTTTTATTACACCCTTGTAATAGTATGAGGCTGACAGATTTCAACGGCCTTTGTTTACATTTTTGAGTTTGCGCCACCTTAAGGCATCTATATGTCAACAAACATTGTTATTATTACTTGGTTAACTCTCGTTGTAATCTTTCAACTGGCCACACATATTGTTGGAAACACCAAGGCTTTATTGTAAGCCACCGTACATATAGTTGTACATCAAGGTAATATCGTTACCAATAAATAAATACTCGACATTGGTCGAAACCTTTTATTAAAAACATATTGTGTTTTATTTTTATTATCTTTTATTTTTGCTCACGAGTGCGTATTGGACGCACTGACTCTATTGGGAGACTTTCCATTGCACTATACCTGCCAACCACCCAAGTCCCTATAGTGCGGACTTAACAATAGTAAATACAATAATTGATATTAATTTAAAGGTCGACCATTGGTTGTACTATCAGCATTTCGGGTCTATGTCTTTTATGTGTATACACGCCATAGAATACCAATTTTGTAATTTTTCACACAAAAGTCTTGGTACATTTAACCGAAATATTGACTGACCTTTATCAAAAAGGCATTCCCCTTCTTCTTTTACATTTTATGTAGTGCGAATCATACGTGTAGGCTCTAGTTTTCCTCCATTTGATCCCAAATATTAACCGACCAAAAACAATATGGATCTTCTTGCAAAATATTGTAACTAGTGAACCATAAGTGTGACCTGCGTCGTGTTTACAAATTATAATCGACAGACGGACGAACACACATGTCTAGATAGATTCAGCTATTCGGTATACTAAAGGGAGGGTCGACGAATAATATTTCGCGGCGTTTGTGGGTGGCCCACATAATACTACAATAGAACATAGTTATGGACGTTATAATTAGGCCAAACCTTTATAGGGTCTCAGAACATGGACCTATAATGAGGGGAAACATGTATGTTGTCTCAAAACATGGAAACACATCGAACATTTTCAACAAAGATGATTTTCGTTCTCCAATAACCAATAATGGCTAAAACTTTCTGAATACCTTTCTATGCTGGCTATATAAAAACATGGAGCTATATTAAACACTTTCTGCTTAGATATATGTATGCCAGCCTAAAACAATATATAACGAAAACATTTGTAATACCAAACATGGGACGGGACCATTGTGTACAAGTTCCGATACAGTTGAAATGACTAAATCTACAGATTAGTTTTAGAGCCGAAATTTATTGTTGAACAAGGACGGACCACAATATGAAATTTGCAAACTACAACAATACAAGGAGTATACAGACGATACTTACGTGTTGTTGTCAGCAAATTAAAAACACTTTAAATAAATTTCGACTTCAAATTTAGATTCTGACGGTCTTTTATTTATTTAAAATGATTATTTATTTTTTTATTTAATCTTGGAGATCCATTTATTTAAACTTCAAGAAGATGAGTGCTTTTTTGTTCACCCCGTGATTGGACCCCACCGATTATGGTTTATCGAAATCAATGTCGTCGGAATCTACAAAACCAAAATGGTACACAGTTACAGTGTCAGAACTATAAATACCATTCACAATTTTAGCCGCTTTTAAAAATCAAATAAAATGAATCTAAAATCAAATCAAAAGGATCAAAAGTAGGAAAAAACCAGTGAGCGGAGCAGTATAGTCGGACGGGGCCGACCATACGATACCCTACACAACTACCACGAACTGTAACTTTCTGAGGATGCTTATTCCGAGTCTGAGTAATATTTCGTGATATTTGCCCCCTCTTGTCCGATTAGAGGTCAACAACACCTCTTCCTTACTTTTTTCGAATATTCAGTACAGTCCTTCTAATTACTTGTCCAGATTACCTTCACGGTGGGTTGTGTTGTGATTTTCGGATTATACTCTACTCGAAAACACACAAAAAATTATGTTTTCGGACCATTTCATCCCAAAATTTTAATCTGATCATCACCGAAAATTGTAGGCGTTGTTCTTGACCATAACTGGAACTTCATGAAAAATTTCAAAGCCATCAGCGCGATATTTCTCCCTCTAA